TTGTATGGTATCGATATAGTAATTTATGATTTTTTGGTTATTTCAAATGTATAGTTTAAACCTAAAAAAATTATTTCATTTCACATCCTCCACATGCAAAATCTTTTAATGCTTAGCAACCTACAACAAGCAGCAAACGAGTTCAAAGGTCGTAACTAGAAGAAATAATTGTTTGCTTTACTTCTTTATTTACTGTTGTATGTTTTAATGTAATAAAAATAATAAATAAATAAATATATATAAATGTGTAATGTAATGAAATTTAAGATATTTAGACAAAACATTTGTGTCTTCGTGTTATAATTTGTAGTCATTCTAGAAAGAAAAAATTTATATTTATTTCATAATTTTTTTTATGGAGGTTACGAAGTCTGTCAAATTGACCCAACCCATAAAAAGATACAGTAGTGAAAATAACAGATAAAATGTAAAGTTTTTTCTAAAAATATATGATAATTATCGTGAGGCTATAAAGATTTCTTGTGTGAAATTTGAAAATGTTCTGATTTAAAAATAATTTTTAATCTTAAAACCAAAATTACTTTGCACGTTGGATAGTCAACATCCTGAAAGAAAAATGTTTACAAGAAAAATCTTTAATTAAAAAATCTCAATACTGAATTTAAAAACCTGACATTTTGTGTTTGAAAGCCTTGTAATGTTTACCAGTAACCTGCAAAATTTTGTAAAGATGTGCATACGTTTTCAAAAATCACAGTATAATTACTTTTTTGGCTATGAACTGGATGGATTCCACCCAACCCATAATGGAAGGGTTAATCACATATTTGTAGATTAAACTCCTGTCTACTGGTAGGGTATGTCTGAACTTGAAATCACCTTAATCACATACGTGTAGGTTCAACTCTGAACCCGAAGTCACCTTAATCACATACGTGTAGGTTCAACTCTGAACCCGAAGTCACCTCAATCGCATACGTGTAGGTTCATCTCTGAGCCCGAAGTCACCTCAATCGCATACATGTAGGTTCATCTCTGAACCCGAAGTCACCTCAATCCCATACGTGCAGGTTCATCTCTGAACCCGAAGTCACCTTAATCACGTACGTGTAGGTTCATCTCTGAACCCGAAGTCACCTCAATCGCATACGTGTAGGTTCATCTCTGAACCCGAAGTCACCTCAATCGCATACGTGTAGGTTCATCTCTGAACCCGAAGTCACCTCAGTCGCGTACGTGTAGGTTCATCTCTGAATCCGAAGTCAACTTAATCACATACTTGTAGGTTAAACTATTAGCCAGTGGTAGATTTGTTTCTGAACCTGAACTCACCTTAATCACATGCATGTAGGTTTGTCTCTGAACCTAAAGTCACTTTAATCACATACTTGTAGATTAAACTACTAACAACTGGTAGGTTTGTCTCTGAATTTAAACTCACCTTAACCACATACTTGTAGGTTAAACTCCTAGCTGCTGGTAGGTTTGTCTCTGAACCTAAAATCACCTTGATCATGTACTCGTAGGTTAAGCTACTAGCCACTAGTAGGTTTGTCTAAACCTAAAATAACCTTGATTGTATGCTCTTGGTTTCTTTGAGAGTATTATAGTATTTCAACAATAATAAGTCCAAAATATCAACTGTCTTATGACAAAAATAGTTAGTTATAATTAAAATCTTACAACACAACAACAATTAAAGTTTTAAGTTACTTCATTTTTTGTACAAGTCTGCAACTGAACTACCCACTAATGTCAGGGCTTAATTCTAGAAATTTGCCTGCCAAAACATTTTATCCAAAATCTAACCATAAATAAAATATAACACTTTATTTATGGTTAGTAGTTCAAACTACAAGGTACCAAATAAAAAATAGTTCTTAAAAATAGACCAAATTTGATTAACTGAAAGCCATACTTTAAATGTCTCACACTTGGTTGTAGGTACTTAATATCTTTGTTAAAATGAAGCAGTGTTCCCATCATTGAAA